CATTGTGACTCAGATGCAAAAAAAATGGCCCAACCTGCACTCCTTCCCTTTTACCTTCCTAGTGTTCCGATCCTGAATCAAACATCCATCATAAGAAAAGGTGAGAATGTTACCTTCATCAACTAATTAGCCAACAAAAATCAGATTTGTAGTGAGATTATGAACAGGAAACATYTTGGTAAGAGGGAACGATGCAGTGGGTGAATATGTTTGTGATGGGTTTTATAAGGTTACTTGGTTGGTTAGGGTAGGCTCCTGTCGTATGGTTGGTAGCTCTATAGTCAATGATCCAAATGTGAGAGGGAGAAGAACAATAACTGGAGAACTCACCACATAAGCCAATAGCAGAAAAGGTAGAAGAAATAGTAGATGCTACTAGTTGTCGAATGTTTTCATCCACCATAGATGCCATCTTTAACAAAAGAATAACCACTAGTAGAAGATTTCTTACTACAATGTGCTACAGCAGCAGTGCCAATCCCATAAGTTGATCCATCAGGTTTCAAATGAATAATATCAGCTCTATCAGAGGCCATTTTAGAAAAAGAAACAACACTCTAGACACAAGAATATCAAAGAAAGACAAATTCAGCAACAGTCCACTCTAATCCAGGGGGATAGAGAAGTATTCCAGCAGTAGAGGAAGTCAAGAGACTCTAAAAAATACCACAAACAACTTCAGCAATCAAGAACTTGAAATTGACAGTCCAGAAAAGGCAAGTTTTAGGATTATCGAATCTAAAAACTCTCAAATATCAATCTGAAATCTGAAACAATTAAATGAGAAACAAGAAAACCCTAGGGTCACACCAGATCTAGGGCTATAGGTTGATCGAATCAGTCAATTGAGAGGAAACTGTGATTTACCAACATGTCAGGCATCTTTTCCAAGAACAAATAGGTACCTTCTGTTGACGGAAACAGCCCTCAGAAAAACTTCAAACCAGAAACTGAGTGTAGTGTAGGGTTAAAAAAACACTAGATAGAACCCTTCAATCTGGAGAGAAAAGCCTAGATCACTGGATGTTGTAGAAGGCCTGAAGTCCAAAGGAGTTGCAGTCTAGAAAAGGAAACTGTACATTATTGCTGCCACAAGAAGAAGATAAGAACTCCTTCAGAAACTTCACCAAATCAGATGCTGTTTGTAAGGTGAATACATAAGGTCTAAGCGACACTAGATCTGAAGTTTGGCCTCAAACCAAGGTCTCCCAAGCAGTGATTTAAAAGGCACACCTCACGCGCACCTAGTTGCACAGACAAGGTGCATTTAAGATTAGGTGCCTCGCCCARGTCCTAGGTGCAGCACTTTTGCTCACTCATGGAAGCTCCAACAACCCCCTATTTGCTAATGTTGTTCATTCATTCATTTTAATAAAATATCTTCTTGAAAGGCAATTAAAATTATAAAATGAGAATTAAGAATTTAAGACCCTAACATGGACTTGTTTGGGCTTGCCTTGAGGGGTGTGGCACAAAGGCAACTCGTTGAATCAGGAATGTAACATGTTTTACATCACATTAGCTACTTGAAGTAATGCAATTGAGGAAAAAGAAGATTGTGGTCTTTACATGCTTGGAAATGTTTTATATGTTTGATTTTATTTTTAAATTTTTATTTGAATATGCTTTACATGTTATATTTATGTATTATAATTTTTTTGATAAATTTAATGTATTTTAATTTTAGATAATAGGTTTTATAAACCATTAATTTTAAAATTTAAGTTTATATTTCTTATTAATATTATGTTTAATATTTTTTATTTGATGCATTGTTTTGAATTTTCTGACATTTTTTTTTTATTTTTAGCAATTTTTTRTATTTTTGCGCCTTGCTTCGAAAAGGCACGTGCCTTGCGCCCTTTTTGCTTCTTGCGCTTTTAAAACATTGCTCCCAAGAGAGATCTAATAAAATCTTTCCTGCTGGTTGCCATAGTAGACTGAACAGCAATTAGGGTTGATTAAAACTGCCCTAATATTTTTCAAAGAATAGAGGACAGTAAATCCTAATAGGACGGTAGGATTACTGCTTCCAGTGAGGATCGAGAGAATAGAAAACAGATCAGAGAGCAACCTGTTATGATACCATGTCAACACTCTTGGCCAAATAGAGAAGTGAACAAGAATAATCTTAAATGGTCGACCCCCACCTCAAAGAGTCTTTATATATTAAATGATATGCACAATTACACGAATGCCATATAGGACTAAAACAGAAAAAACAACAAAGAATACAAGTAATGTAACATACAACAGGGACTATACTAATAGGATACATCAAGTCACAGAATCTCCACAAAAATCACTTCACAGCCTTAGTTTCATCAGGAAATTAATCGCAACACAGATTCATAAGAGATCTTCACTTCACAGTACTGAGCAGCCTCAATTATCACCTTTCCTCTTGGTTTCGATCCATTAGAGGGTCACAAACAATCACTTATCACCTGTCACAGCACTTGTGATGGTTGGAACCATCACTATTCACCCAGGACCTCTGCTGAGCCTAGTTCGATCCCCTGTAGCAAGCTATGGCAGTCTTCTAT